AGAGCTTGTGGGCTGCCTCATGTACCTGATGACCTGCACTCGACCTGACCTTGCATACCCTCTTAGCATCCTTGCACGCTATGTCGCTCCTGGCCGTCACAGGAAGGAGCACATGGATGCCGCTAAGAGGGTGTTGCGCTACTTGTGCAGTACGTCGGGCATGGGGCTAGTGCTTGGAGGGCGAGACCGAGTTGTACTTACTGGACACTCTGACGCTTCTTGGGTTGACGACCAGGCTACTCAGCGGTCGTCTCAGGGTTACACCTTCAGTCTTGGCTCTGGCTCAGTTTCTTGGCGTTCTACACGCTCTTCTTCTGTTCTCAGCTCCAGTTGTGAGGCTGAGATCTACGCCACAGCCATGGCTGCCCAGGAGCTACACTGGCTGACCTACCTGCTGACTGACTTGGGAGAGCGGCCTCGTTCTCCTCCAGTGCTGTACGTCGACAACCAGGCTGCCATTGCCTTGTGTGAGGAGCACAGACTGGAGCACAGAACGAAGCACATCGCCCTGCGGTACTTCCTTGCTCGAGAGCTGCAGCAGCGTGGTCAGCTTCGTCTGCGTTACGTGGCCACTGAGGCCAACCTTGCTGATGTGTTCACCAAGGCGCTCCAGCCTTGTGACCATCAGCGCTTCTGTACTCTTCTAGGCCTTGTGCCTGCTGGACCTCACTTGCTTACTTCTTGACTCTGTTTGTACTGTGATCTCTATATATATACCTGCATGTTTACACTTGCTAGGTTGTGATCACTGTATCTCTTGCTATATTATCAAACTGCATGAGGACTGGTCTTGTGACCACTTGCTTGTGCTCGGAATTTGTGTGGTATCCTTGAGATCCACCCTGAGCTTGTGTTGCTTTGCTTTGACTGGTCTTGTGACCCCTTGCTCTCCCCCACTTCGCCTATGGGGGTGTGTCAAACATTATACATGTTATATTTGTGTAGGCTATAGTGGGTTAGTCTATAGGGGGGTCACAACTCTAGGGTTTCCTATTTGTACTCTCATTCCTTCATAGTCCAACAACCCTTGTTCATTCTAACATATGGGCAGGTCAGGTCGTGGACGATGTCTTTGCCGTTGACGAAGTTGGTGAAGTTCTTCCCCAGGAACTCGCCTCCGCGGTCCGAACGGAGGATCATCACCGCCTTCTTGGTTTGCCTCTCCACAACCAGCAGCCACTGCTCGAACACGTGCAGGACGTCGCTCTTCTTGGCGACCGGCCTCACCCACATGTAGCAAGTCTTTCGATCCTTCAGCAGGAGGAATTAGTAACTGCCATCCTTGGCGGCCACTCAGAACGGTCCGCACAGGTCGATGTGCACGACGGCCAGGGCCTCCTCCGCGTCCGAACCTTTGTCGGGGAAGGTGTGTTATGCAAGTTTGCCACCTCCGCAAGAGACGCACGGCAAATCAGTCCCTGTGGAAGGCGTGATGTCTAGGCCAGTGGCAACATTGTGCTTTGCCGAGCTCTTGATGGTGTCAACGCCAACGTGCGCAAGCCTCGGGTGCCACCTAGGCGGCGTTGACTTCGTTGCCGACGCGATCTCCGCAGAGCCACCACCTCTGTCGACTTCAACGACAGCTTCGTCGAGCAGGGACAGAGGTCGGTGCAAAGGACGCGGCCAGTGTAGCGTGCTCGACCAAGCAACTCCCCGGTCGCGTTGATGAGCATCATCTCGTCGCCATCGTCCTGCAGCAGCACACCATTCTCCTTCAGCTGTCCGGCAGACAGTAGGTTCGCCTGCACGCTCGGGAAGTAGAGCACGTCGGGGATGAGGACCTGCTTCCCGGCCTCCCCTTGCAGAGCGACGGTGCCTCGGCCCTCGACGGTCTGCAGAGCCCCGTTGAAGCCACGCACATGCTTCACATTGCCGCTCGGCCCCATATTGATGAAGGCCTCCTTCGTCCCCATGAGGTGGTGTGAGCAACCGCTGTCGAGCAGAACCACCATTGGATTCGCCTGCACGGCTGCTGCGACCGCTTTGAAGTCTTCGCCGGCCTCTGGCGCCAGCGAAACAGTCTGCTCCACCATGCTGACCATTGAGCATGAAGCCTCTCCGTCACCTTGCCCCTTGCCGCTGGAGGAGTCGACCTCCTTCGTCGACGACGTCTTCTTCGACGTCTGCTTCTCCTTGCGCGGCTTCTCGTCCCGACTTTGACGACCGTTGGCCGACCTTCCGCGGCCTCCCTTGTGGTCATCGTCGTCAGTGTCTTCTCGGTCAGGGCAGTCATAGAAGAGGTGGTCAGCGCTTCCGCAGACCCAGCACTCACGCCGTCGACCACCCTTGCCGCGACCACTGTCACGAGTTGATTTCGCCTGGTCGGCGTCCTTCGCCGACCTCCCACCTCCGCTACCACCTCCGAGAGACTTTCCTCTCTACCCCTGAGGATGATTCTGCTCATCTGTGCAGCGTAACTCACCTGTGGAAGGAGCTCCATGGGTTGCTCTGCCTCCTGCATAGCCTCATCTTGAAGGATGTAGCTGGTGATTGAGTCCTCGTCGAGTGACTCCCACGTGCCGAGCACCATCATCATCCTCTTCATAAGGTTGTAGCTGCGCGGCAGGCCCTTGACGACGTGGGTGATGTAGGACGCCGTAGAGTACTCGGTGCCCACCATCCACATTTCGGCCAATATCCGTTGAGCACGGTTGCAGTAGTCCATCGCCGATCCCTGCTCACCCATCCGAAGATGTGTCATCTTCTCCTCCAGCTGTCCGATGTACAGGTCGTCCTTCGCCTGGTACGTCGACAGGATGAAGTGCCATGCTTGGTGACCAGCATCCAGACACTTTCGACAACTCCTGAGCGCTAACTGCACCACCGGCGAGCAGCACCTCGAGATGACCATGAAGGTGAGCAAGTGAGCAGCACGAAACTCCCCGCGCAGCTCGACATCGTCCTCGTGCGGAATTGGCACAGTACCGTCGGCAAAGCCCTTAAGCCCGGCAACCTCAAGCTGTTGTTCTATCGACTCCCTCCAGGTGAAGAGGTCCCGTCGACATTGCAGCGGTATGACGGTGATCTTGTCCGGAGAAAACTTGAAGTAGCCATACGTCGGCGCGATCCCGCCCGCTGTCACGTGCGTCGTCGTTGAGGAACTTCCACTGCCTCGTTGAGGAGAGCGACGTCGACCATCGACGTCGACACTCGAGTTGACTGCAACCGCCGTCGACCGCTGCACTCGCGCTTGACTCCCGCCGACACCACCGTCACCAGACCTGCGCACTCCTATCTGCCTCGTGCCCTCGTTGCCACAGACTCTTGCACCGCCATTGACCTCCTCGTCGACGCCACCTTCGTTCTCCTGGCAAACCGACGCACCACTGGTGCGTGCCTGGTGCATCCTTGGAGGGCTAGCACCATGCGCGCACCAGCTGATGCGGGGCAGCACCAGCTGCGCAGCATAAGGTGCCCACCAAGTTGAACACCCCCCGATGTTGGGACAACATAAGCTGCAATCCAATTATGCCAGCGCGGTTCGCAAATGCGATCCCTAACAGTCCACCTGGAAGAAGTTGATGGGTCGTAATCTGCCTGCGGTCAGAAAAAAATAAACCCCATCTGGATGGCATGCGATTAGGGGAGCCCCAACCCTAAACACGGGGAGCCCCAACCCTAAACACGGGCAGCCGCATGGTTCTGCCCGAAAATATTACATTTGCAAACACGCACTGGGAAGATGGGATCGCAGTTCGAATTGTCCGCCCCGATGTTTGTCAAACTTTCCTCACACAATTGCCCGCTATGTAAAAGTCGAGCACCCACCTTGTTTGACAAACTTGACAGACCAATAGGACCAATTTGACAAATCCCAGAGCACTTCCTCTCGTTCGAGCACCACACCCGAACCACGCATCAGCGCCGGAGCACCACAAACGAACCTGTGCTGGTACCCGAGCCTAAACCCTGATGCGCCAGTCGAATAGGGCCTGGTTTTCAGTTTCTGGTTACTGCTGCTTGACAAACGGACACCCATCGAGAGAATCGTTGTATTGTACTGTACCGCTGACTTCTTGTAGAGGTCGTTTGTGGATTCCCTTGAACACTGACGACTCTTGTAGACGTCGCTTGTGGATTCCCTTGAACTAAGTCACAGCAGTCACAGCCCGAAAGATGGAGTTCACAGCCTAGGCAAGAACCGGTGACGACCCTAACAGTAGTCACTACTGACCCACACGATTGCGCAACAACCTCCGAGACCATCGCGGCAAGAACCAGCAACACCAACGAGCAGAGAACAGAAAGCAAACGCCAGGGAGGAGAGGGAGGGAGGCAAGGGGAAGGCAGGACTTTCACTCTTTCACGAGGTATCACCCTTTCTTGTGCTGACGAGGAAAGAATTTTCGAATGCATCGAGCATTTTAATTCATTTCCTTTTCACAACCATCGCCGCTCCCCTATTCCTTCTGAGGAAGGAACAGTCGTCGTTCTTTCGAGTCGGCTCAAAAGCAGTGTTGTCATGGCTTTTAAAAAAGGAACACTCGTCGATCCCGAGAACCGATCTGAGATTCGACAGTCGTTGCATTTTGAGATTCAGTGCTCTCGATTAAGGGCTTTCCTCCTATTTCTCCTCTTATTACAGTGCGGCGGCGGGACTCTACCCGCTCTCTCCCGCCGCACCAACGCCGGTGAGCAAACGGCTACGCACCTCTGCTTTCCTATTTTTGAGGCTCCTTGGGCTCGTAGAAGCATCCCAACTTTTGAGTCGACTCAAAAGTCACCTTGTAGTAGCATCCCGTCGCCTAGTACGCTCCCTCGCCCTCTCCCATTTTCCACTGACCCTGCTCTCCAAGCCCGCAGCTGAGCTGCCACGTGGCAGCGTACGCTCTCGATGAACCTCAATGATGGAGCCACGCGCGTAATCATTGAGAGAAAAGGCGAACGAAAATGGTCTGCCTGGTGCTACTACCCCCTCCCCCCCCCCTCCCTCCTTCCCCCTTCCCCCCTCCCTCTTTCCCCCTCCCCTCCGAATACTCCACAGCAACCCCGTACGACTCATGGCTCCACGCAATTCCCAAGGACCACCCGCAGCTTCTCCCCACCCCCTGATCGTCAAGTTCCTGCTCGCTCAACTCACTTCCATGTGCTCTCTTCTCCTCGCTCTGGTCCCCCCATCCCCCGCAGCTTCCCCCCATGCCTCCGCGCTCTACATCGTCCGCCTGCGCTCCGCGCCGCCCGTCGCTTCGTACCGCGGGGGAATCCCCGGCTTCCCGGCAACGGCCGTGTGGGACAGCGACCCTAACGGCAACGCGAGAGATGCGACGGCAGATGACCCTAACGGCAGCAACTCGCCAGGCGCCGCATCAGGCAACGACACCAGCGATGGCGTTGGCACTGCGTCTGGTGCTTCTGTCACTGCTGCTGCTGCGGCTGCTGCCACCACCAGCGGTTCAGGAGGGACCAGCCGTCGGCTGCGGCGGCGGCGGGTCAACGTGAGGGCGCCAGGCGTGAGGTCGTTCAAGCAGCTGCTGCAGCGCATGCAGCAGGCCGTGCTGAGAGACAGCGGGGTGGACGCGGGGAAGATTATTTATAGGTGAGGGGAAGATGGTGTGCAGGTGAGCATGAGAGGAATGTGGGGGACTTGCACGGAAAAAAACAAGAATAGTGATAGCTGCTAGTGCACTTGCTTTTCCTGTTCCTACTGCTGCTGCTGCACATGCAATAGGACGTGGTGGCGAATAGAGGGCTTACCATAGTAGGGAAGGTGAGCTGTGGTTATTGAGACATTTGTCCAAGGCCCAGGCGATTCGAAGGCGGATGCAGTAAGCTGTGGGAGCATAGCGGATGGGCTGACATCTCAGAAACCCATCCAAGAAATTGTCTAATTACCGCACCACACCGCACCACACGATTGATTGACGTATACGTTATGACTGGCTGCTTCTCTCTCAGCTCAGGCCCTCATGGCAAGACGGTTGGGTTCCCTCTCCCGACCTCCCTTCTTCCTTCTCACCTTCTCTTCATTTCCCACTCCTGTTTATCCCTTCCTTTCACTCGCCCCCTCCTCGCCTGTCCTTTCCAAGCTCATGCGTCAAGCGTCGCTGAATGGAGATTTGGAAACCCCATTGCTGCTCTGCTCTGCTCGGGTGCTAATGATGAGGCGCCGCGCCACCCTTCAGGGGTCGCCATATCTCGTGCACCCCGCACCACCACCGAGTCACTGACTCTTACGAAGTTCACTCGTGATCCTGCTCACATTGTAACGAGCTGACTTCTGAGTCGACTCAAAAGTCAACCGGTTACTGCCAATTTCTTCACAAAGTTTTTCAAGCGAACAAACTGCTTTTCTGCTTAACTAATACAAAGTCGCTGCCATGTAAATATAATGGCTCCAACTTGGGGCTTCATTGCACCCCGCACCACCACCGAGTCACTGACTCTTGCAAAGTTCACTCGTGAGCCCTGCTTCCTTTTCTCTGCTTCACCTCGCTTCCATCTTCCCTCACTTCCTTCACTTATCTACCCCTTCTCGCCCTCCTTCCTCCCCAGCTACGTCCACGCGTCGAACGGCTTCTCAGCAACCCTCACGGCAGCGCAGGTGCAGCGCATGAGGCGGCACCCCTCTGTGGCGTCCGTCACGCCCTCTCGCACCATCACACGCCGCGCCATGACCTCCGCCGACGTGCACAAGTCTTTCAAGCTGCCCCACGCCCGCTCTGCTGCTGCCGCTGCCGCCGCGTCTCCCGCGGCCGCCACTCCAGCTGGAGCGCCTAGCGATGGTGGCGAGGGCACGGTGATTGGAATCCTGGACAGCGGTGTGTGGCCCGAGCACCCCTCCTTTGACGACACTGTACGTTCACAGCCCAGCATTACTGGGTCTCTTCACTGTATGAGAGCTGCTGCTGCTGCTGACGCTGCTTCTGCTGCTGCTGGAGAGACTAGTAAAGGTTGTTGTTGATGTTGCTGTTAGCCTCTCTCTCCTTCCGTCCCTCACCATCCTTGATCCCTCCCGTGTCCTCCCTTAATCCCCATGCTCCTCCTTTTTTCCAGCTCACTACTCCCTCCCTTCTCCCCATTCTTTCTCTCTTCTTCCCCATCCCCTTTCGGTTCCCTCTTCCCCAACCTTTCATCACCAGTTTTTTCAACTTCCGTCCTCCTCAACCTCACCAGGACTGCAGCAGCACGCTCCCTCCTTGTCCCACTGCCCCTCCACCCACCCACCCGCTCACTCACACTACCCCTCCACCCCTTCTCGTCCCCACCAGGGCTACAGCAGCACGCTCCCATCGGGGTGGTCAGGCACGTGTCCCACTACAAGCGACTTCGCTTGTAACAACAAGATCATCGGAGGGGGCGTGTTCCACGAGGATGTTGGGGACGTGGACCTCACTGTTGACTGGCTGTCCCCGCGGGATTCGCATGGCCATGGCACGTGGTGTGCCGGGTGAGTGCAGGGGCGTGCGGTGATTCCTATTGCGAAGGCCATTCTGGTGCCGTGACTTTGCACCGGATAAAATTGGTTACGAGAGTGTTTAGGATTCGAATGGTCATGGCACGTGGTGTGTAGGGATGTGCGTTGGGTGCAGGCGGAAGCAGGATGCAGGCAGAAGCAGGGGAAGTGCCAGTGGCGATGCCATGGCCTTGCACGGGGTTGTCTGGCATGGCATGGCATGGTATGGTGTTGCTCAAAGTGGTCTCGCGGACAGGGGGGAGAGCATGTACTTGGCAACGTAACCCCCCTCATAGCCGCTCCTTCCCTGTCAGAGCGGCAGCGGGCAACAGTGGAATTGAAGTTTCTGGCGTTGCCACCATCAGTGGCATGGCTCCCCGGGCACGCCTGGCCATCTACAAGGTGTTCTGGCACTGGCCTAGAGAATTCAACTACAGCGACACATACACTACAGACGCAAACGTCCTGGCAGCCGTTGATCAGGCCGTGGCGGACGGTGTGGATGTGCTCACCTTGTCGATGGACGGGAACTCTGGCAACGACGGCAAGGATCGGACCTACTTTGACGATGTGCCTTTCATCAGCGCCCTTGCGGTGGGTGTGAGGGGCATGTGGTGTGTGAGGGAGGGGCATGTGGGTAGTGGTTGTGAGGGGCATGTGGTGGGTGTGGCTCCCTCCCTCCCCCCAACTTCCTCCCTCCCTTCCCCCTCCCCCCTTTCTTCCTCCCTCCCTCCCTCCCTCTCTCCCTCCCTCCCTCCCTCCCTCCCTCCCTCCCTCCCTCCCTCCCTCCCTCCCTCCCTCCCTCCCTCCCTCCCTCCCTCCCTCCCTCTCCCTCCCTCCCTCCCTCTCCCTCCCTCCCTCCCTCCCTCCCTCCCTCCCTCCCTCCCTCCCTCCCTCCCTCCCGCAGTCCTCATTCTTGCCACCTCCTCTCCCTGTCTCTTCCTCCACTCTCCCCTGCAGGCCGGAGTGACGGTGGCCTTGGCTGTGGGCGACGGTGGGAAGCCCATGTTCCATTACTCGCTCGGTGCTCTCGATACCATGGTCAACTTTGCACCCTACTATATCAGCGTGGGGGCAAGGTGAGAATGAGGAGCGGAGCACTCAGTAAGAATGACAGAGGTTGCTTCCCCAGGCTATCATGGCGAACTGCCACATGCTCTGCACTGAGTGACTTGAGATACTGGCACCCTATACTAGGTACATGGCATGCCATGTGTGCATGCATGTGCACCCGTTGTCCTTGCAGCCAAGGCAAGGTGCCTGCTTGCTTCCCACGCTGCAGCTTTGCATTGCACTGTTTTTTTCCTTCTATTTTTTTCCCCCTCCCTCGAATCATGCCTTTTTTCACACTCTCTTCCCTTGTCTTGCATCTCCTGTTGCCCCTTCTCATGCTTACCCACACCCTTCTTGCCCCCCCATGCAGTACGCTGCCCCAGGCATCCCTCATTTCAACGTCAACAACAACAACAGCAGCAGCAGCAGCAGTTGCAGCAGCAATAGAATCTCCAGCAAACACCACAGGCCTAGCAGCAGCACTACTTGTGAGAACCCCACTCCCTGCCACCATCACCCCTTCAGCCACAGCCCTCCCCATGGTTCCCAAATGGTCCTCTACCGGCCCTCTTGCCGCGTCCGGCTGTACGTACTGCCAACCGTGGAATCCCCGCGCAGCCAACACCATTCTCAAGCCGGACCTCATAGCGCCGGGAGTTAACATCCTTGCGGCTGCACCTGGGGCGAGCGTCGGCGAGACGGGGTCGTTCATGGCTCGTAAGAGCACGGCCGTGGCGGCGGCGCATGTTGCCGGTGTGGCTGCTCTGATCATCCAGCAGCATCCTGATTGGTCGCCCGCGCAGATCATGTCTGCCATGATGACGATAGCTGGCAGCACTGACAACAGCAACAGAGTGATTCGGAATGTGAACGGCAAGCCGGCAACGCCGTGGGAGATGGGAGCGGGGCATGTGTTTCCCGCTAGGGCGTTTGACCCCGGGCTGACCTACAATGTCGGGGAGCAAGATTTTCGCAACTTTCTTGCTGGGCTGAGCATGTCAATGGCTCGGACGGCGTTCGGACAGGTGCAACTGAAACCTGTTCCACCTAGGCACCTTAACCGGCCTTCTATCTCGCTGGTCAACATAAGGAATAAACTTGTCGCTAGGCGGACTGTGACGAGCGTGTCTGACAGCCCATCGACCTACAGGGTGAGGATCAAGGCCCCCAAGTCAGTGAGAGTGAGAGTGGTGCCATCGCAGTTTACCATAGCGCCGGGGCAACGGGTCAGTTTCAAGGTGAAGGCTGTGGTGAGGAAGAAGTTTAAGAGATTTAAGTACGGCAGCCTCACGTGGGTGGATGACAAGGGGCATTCTGTGCGGTCGGTTCTTGTTCTCCATTGCAAACCTACTTGCTTGATCTCTGGTAGCATGTGGTGTGCATGAGTCATGTGTTGTGCGGAAAAAGAAATTTTCAAATTCAGTGCCACGGTACACACCTGATTAGGGTACGTTGGGTACATCACTGTTCACGGGCTCGACCATTCTTCGCCCGTAACTGGCTCCCCCGGCGTTCGCCTCCCAACTCTTGATATTTTCCCCTCAGCGACACCCGACACTCCACACCAGCAAATATTTGTTCGCGCTCCATTTTGACCGTAAACAGGGTAACTGCACAAGCAAGTGATCACATTTGCTTCTGCCCCTCCCCAGAGTGCACTGCCGTTTTATCTTGTAGTGTAGACATGTGAACGGCATGCCTGTCAGAATGTTATATTTCTCTAGTCTGCAGTAGAGTGCTCTATAGTGAGTACAGCCCCGTTAAGGTTTGCTATATGTATCCCATTGTTTGCTAGTGAAATTCCTCTTTTGCCTATTCTCTCTTGCCTAGCTAGCTAAACCCTAGCTATAGCTCCTGCGTTCTAGCTACTGTTTCAACATGCTATCAGAGCAGTTACGCTCCTGGCCTGTGGGCCCGCCTGAATCCCCTGCCATATTGTCTGTCGCACGCCCCGTGGCGCGCGACGTTCTTTTTTCTTCCCCCCACGCGCTCGGGGCGAGTGGCGGTTTCCTGCCCGCCGTGCGCCCCAGGCGCGCGCGGCGGTTTCGTGCTCCGTCCCGCGCGCTCCCCCCCGTCGTCCGTCGCGGCGCCCCAGAGGACCCGCGCGTCACCCCCCTGTCGCTCGTCGTGGCGCCCCCAGGGACCCGCGCGTCCCCCCCGTCGCCCGTCGTGGCGCCCCCCAGGGACCCGCGCGTCGCTCCCCGTCGACCGTGTGGCGCCCCAGGGACCCGCGCGTCGCTCACCGTCGCCCATCGTGGCGCCCCAGGGACCCGTGTGCCGCCCCCCGTCGCCCGTCGCGGCGCCCCCAGGGACCCGCGCGTCGCCCCTCGTCGCCCGTCGTGACGCCACAGGGGACCCGCGCGTCGCCCCTTGCCCCGTGTGCCGCGGGGCTGCTTCCTCCCCGCCCCTCCCCGTTCTCCTTCCTCTCCCTCCTGCGCCTGCAGCTCTGGGGGTGGCGCGTATGGGGGTGGAGTGTGTGTGAGCCGTCCCCTGCTCCTCCTCCTCCGTCTCCCACTGCTACAATTGTCGCTGAGGGGGGTGGATGTGTGGGAGCCGAGGGAGTGGCGCTAGGGGGGTGATGTGGGAGTGGAGCTAGGGGAGGATAAGGGGGTGCTCTGCGACAGTGGGGGAGGTTGAACAGAGGTAGCTGTTGTGGAGCCCGCCACGCCAGTAGTCTGGACGTCGCTGCTCCGGTAGCCAGCGAGCCAGTTGCACCAGTTGCCCGTGGGTCCGTTGCTCCAGCCGCTCGTCAAAGCCGCGGAGCCAGTTACCCAGTAGTCCGGGCGTCGCTGCTCCGGTAGCCCGTGTGCCAGTTGCTCCAGTCGCCAGTGTGCCAGCAGCTTCAGCCGCCGCCTCCACACTCCTCTCCTCGCACAGTCTCTCCTCCTCCTCACGAGTCCTCTGTGTCTCCCACTAGCTTTGCTTGTGTGTGTCAATTTATTATGTGACTATTTGCTGTACTGATTATACCCCACTTTGACTATGGGGGTGTGTCAGAATGTTATATTTCTCTAGTCTGCAGTGGGGTACTCTATAGTGAGTACAGCCCTGTTAGGGTTTGCTATATGTATCCCATTGTTTGCTAGTGAAACCCCTCTTTTGCCTATTCTCTCTTGCCTAGCTAGCTAAACCCTAGCTATGGCCCCTTCGTTCTAGCTACTGTTTCAACAATGCCACGGATCCCTTTGTAAGGATTTTTTCCGAATTCCTTATTGGGGTTGACTGCTACGCGTACAACCCCGATTTTCGGACTCTGCAAGTTCGGCCGACATCAACGATGCCGAGGCTCCTCGCGTCGCCTTCGGCTTTTCCCTTTGCCAAACCTGCTCCCAACCTTGCTCACCCGAGTTTCCTTCATAGCTAGGCTAGCCACTACATTAGCGTGTGCCTTCATTGTATTCTCTGTTCGTTCAATCACAGTCTCGTTATTCGTTATCTCACGCACTCTATTTACAACTCATAACACCTGGTATCAGAGCTACTTTCCTAGTTCACCCCGCTTTCCGAGGGTAGTTTGGTGGCACGGGTGTGACTGGCATAGTGGACTACACGACGGTTGGCCACAATGTTTGCTAATTCAATCTTGCCCGACTCCGATCGTGTTTTCCTCTCGCCTGAAGGTCACGGATACCCCTCTGCCCACCAGACGAAGCGTGCGACTCATGGATCAGGAGAAGCTGAACGAGATGCTAGTGTCAGAACTAGGAGCAGGAATGATAACAGAAGAAGAGGGGTTTCACTAGCAGGCAGTTGGGATACAAATAGCAAACCCTAACCGGGCTGTACTCACTATAGAGTACCCCACTGCAGACTAGACAAATATCACATTCTGACAGCTAGCGCAAATGGCAGAGCTGCAGGCAACAGTGAAGACAACAGAGGTCACAAGCCTACGTGCGGAAAACACCGAACTACGCCAGCCGCGAGGTGAAGCGCGGCAGGAGTCGCCCGATGAAGAAGGTGACATCACCAGCCATGGAGCAAGTGGAGCCGTCACAAGTGGCGAGCCCGCACAAGGCAACGACGAGAGCGATCGTTTGGCAACGACCGCGCCAGCAACAATTGAAGTTACTACAATTAAGATTAAGCCCACGAGCCCGCCCCCGTTCAACCCTACCGACAAGACGACTACAGTGAAGAGGTGGTTGTTCGGCGTGGAAGTCTTCTTTACTGTAGCACGCGTTGACGAAAACACCATGCGTATTAATTACGCGGTCTCGCTTCTCCGAGGAGCAGCTCTGGAGTGGTGGCGACATACCTTGGACAGAGGGACCCCGACAGGTGTGACACATGCGGCAGATGGGGCTTCAACGTCGGTTTATCAAGTGGCAGCACCGATATTCGGCGTGACCAATATACGCACGTGGAAGGAGTGGGGCGCAGCCTTACGAGATCACTTTGAGCACATATCCGGCTCGGAGCAAGCTCGCATGAAGCTGCGTACCTGGTCGCAGTTGGCATCTGCCCAAGACTACATAGCAACGTTCATGGCTCTCGCCGACCAAGTGGATAACATGTCGGAAGTGGAGCGGTTAGATAAATACGTATGCGGCCTTAAATACGAGATACAGTATGAGGTGCGCCGATGCCGCCCGACATCGTTTCTGGAAGCAGCACGGTTGGCAGAATTTACAAACGCGCTGATGCAGTACGCGAGGTTGAGTTCCTGGGAGGGAAACCGTTTTCGCGGCCAGACCCAACAGGCCACGATCAACAGAGTCCATGCGCCCCTATTCAGGGTTATGTTATTAGTGCGGGAAGCTAGGGCATAAGTATGCAGACTGCCCCGAGAGAACGCCGGCGAAGAAGAACGACGGGAAGGAGCCGGGAAATGGGAAGAGTCAGTAATTAGCGGGCCCTTTACTGACTGTGCTCCGTCGCCCGAACCCCACCATGCCCAGCGAGTCGTGGTTCCGATTCATGCAATCGATCGCACTTGGCCAAATAATGGAGATAATCATGTAGATCACCCTGTGCTGGTCGCGGGCAAGGTGCTAAAAAATAATATGGAAATGTTCGTTGATGGGGGGGCCAGCCATAGCCTCTTCAACTTGGCGACAGCAAAAAAATGCAAGCTGCAACTTGACAGGTGTCTGCCCGAAATTGACGCTCGCCTCGTGGATGGGACGCCTCTGGCGATTTTGGAAGAAACACGGACGGTGCGGATCGAATGCGGCGACGATTTCGGCTTCAGCATGAAGTTTCTCGCGACGACGCTGGATGGCTGCGACGTGCTGCTGGGACGTGATTGGCTGCGACGAAACAACCTCGTCATCGACAAAAGAACGGGATTGTGCAGCATCAACAAGCTATTCGCCGTCTGCTTACACGAGTTGGCAATTGACACCGAAGGAAAAGATATCGAGAAGCTGTGTGCAGCCATACCACCGGATTTAGCGAAGCTGATTCGACAGTACCCCGACATCTTCCCCGACGACCTGCCACCTGGGTTGCCACCCGAGAGACCTGAGGACCACAAAATCCAACTGGAGCCTGGCGCGCAGCCGACTGTTTGGACACAGTGGTGGTTGACCCAGCCGGAACTCGAGGAGCTGCGAAGCCAAATTGACGCACTGTTGGAGAAGGGGTTCATTCGGCCCAGCACTTCACCCTTTGCAGCACCAATCTTGTTCACTCCGAAGAAATACGGTGGGCTTCGCATGGCATCGACTATCGCGCACTCAACCGGGTAAAAATCAAGTCTCGCTATCCAATCCCACGTACTGACAACCTTCTCGACCAACTTCGCGGCGCTCGCTACTTCTCGAAGATTGACTTGCGTGGCGGTTACCACCAGATTCGAGTCTTCGCCGACGATTGTCACAAGACTGCGTTTCGCACCCGCTATGGGAGTTACGAATTCAGGGTGATGCCACTCGGCCTCACGAACGCGCCTTCGACTTTTCAGTTAACCATGAACAGAGTTTTTTGGGATCTGGACCGCTGCGTCATCGTCTATTTAGACGATATCCCCATATTTAGCCGTGCACGGGAGCAGCATCTCCGCAACCTTGACGCAGTGTTTAAGTGGTTGCGAGAGAATCGCCTCATCACAAAAGGCTCTAAGTGCGAGTTTTTAAGCAAGAGTTGGAGTTTTTAGGCCACGTCATTTCCCACGACGGCATTAAAATCGACCCGGCGAAAATCAATACTATACAGGAGTGGAAGTTCCCGACGAACGTCACGGAACTTCAGAGTTTTTTGGGGTTCGTGAATTACGTCAGGCGGTTTATCCCGAATATGGCGGGGATAACCGGCCCGCTGACCGACCTGCTGCACAAGGACAGGAATTTTGTGTGGGGGGAGGAAGCAGAGGCGGCTTCTCGGGAGTTGAAGAATTTTCTCGTTTCCCCTCCGGTTTTGCGCATCGCCGACCCATCGAAGC